TAATTAGAGCAGTAAGAAGCCAGCTAGCTGAAGGGAAGAAGTACAGTTAGTAGACTTCTACGGCCCTGAAACCAAGCTATAAACAACTATGTAAGGAGGAATGGGTGAAAAACAAGCTTGAGACAACTCACACAGCCGTCTCGACCTCAGGAGTACCATCAGTCCAGCCGAGCTCGGAGCCCAGCGTGAGGGTGGTAGGATCAACAGTGTTGACAACGCCTGAGGGAATGCGCGATGCCCCACTTACTACCGTGTCACCACATCCACCACTGTGGCCTAACAGGAGGCCATTCTTGCGCTCCTCCGCAAACACCTCATCTTCGTCCACAGGGGCACTCTTTAGATCCACTGGGGTCCAGTTGCGACCCGCCACCCGCAACAACCAGGTGAACCAAGCGTGCACGCGATAGTACACCTAGTGGAGAGAATTAAACGCAAGCACCCCACAATCGACAATTGGCAGACGATTTCGACAGGCTAAAGTAACAGTGACTATGTTAACAAAAGGTAATAAATGCTTGCTAAACATGCAACAACGTTGAAGTAGAATTAATGGAGTTTGGAGATAACGTACCGATTGGTAAGTCAAAGATGAGTTTCGGAAAAAAATTCGAGCAAAACCCAGATTATAACAATGTTTAGCATAACCATATAGTACGCTAAATCGAATACTCGATCCAGTGCGAGCACACAACTTTAGCGATCACTCGAACTATGCGATAACACCAACTGTGATTGAATAGTGACACCAGATATGAAGTGAGTCCATTAAAACACGACGAGGTTGGGCAAACGTGAAAGAAAATCAGGGAATCTGCCTGAGTATACCAAATCGCTGTGTTTGAAGAAATTTTGCTCAGAATTTTGACAACTAGCTACAACAATCCACTGATCAAACCGCAAAACAATGATTTGAATAGCGTTCTAAGATAGACTTATGCAAGAAAAGATCAAAAGGACGCACCAATTAAAACGAATATCCGTCTCTGCGAACAATCAAATGAAGCGATCAAGCACAAGCTTACAAATACATTAAAACTCACAATAATTGAGACTACGAGCTGATTTTGACGGAATACAAAGTTAAGAAGAATGTGAATTGAATCATCAGCATGGATAGTTGGAGTGCTGAAAATTTCAGACTTCAACTATAGCGTCGATTACTGGAAGTAAAATAGTGTCGGCAAACGGCATTATTAAAATAAGAACGAGAATTGCCTGCGTCCGAGTGCATATGTACCATTGCTTCTACAAGACGGGAAACGCATGTACAAGCGCGGTTTGCAGTAGCATTATTTTCCAAGAACACAAACAAACAGAAACGATGGAATATCCACCTACTTCTTAAGAAAAAGCAAAGGCTATCGATCTTATCAAATAGCAACCGTAAGTGGAAGTGGAGGCGCAGAAGTTGAAATGAACCACAAGTCCCGAAGACATTCAGATATAACCAAAGAGAGGAAAGTACTTCCCAAAACCACCGACTGAAGAACATTTAATTCACATAGTAGTACATAGATTAATAGCTTGAAACACACTGTTAGCAGAGGGCAGAGGGTAAGTGGGCAACTTTAGTGTTTACAAGTTCATTGAACATGATCATGGGATGTTATTTTCAAAAAGTGGTGGAGTTTCGACGAAAGAGCAAAATCAAACGCAGGAGACCAAAAAAATGACAAATGTAGTCCACTCAACAAGTGAAACCTCTGTCGTGGGGCAGTTTTATTGGGAAAGAAACAAGATAGAGACAGAGAAACTGTCAGGTCACAGCAATAAATCAGTAAATGGCATTCGTGGTTATTTGAAAGTCTCAACTAAAAGACAATACGCATATAGAACAAGACAGAAGGAGCAAAGAAAGTGACGTTATGACATTTGTATTCAACCTTCTGCAAGACAGCATGTCTCGAAACCCAAGGCATAGATTGAGTTCGATGGCAAATTCCTCAACTGTGGTCGATAAGCCATGTACTCTTGATTCAGGTGGTCTATAACCGTTCAAAAGGCGGCGTCTATGCAGTCAAAAAAGAATAATTCCGAGCCATATGTAAAACCATACACGAGTTAAAGTTTCTGGTTTATCCGCTTCTCAAAAATCAATTGAACCGGAAAATGGTGGCCCCGAATAACCCATTGATTTAAATAATAAACAATTAGATAGAAAATAAGCCTAAGGAAGTCACAAATCAAGCACGAGGGAAAGTTAAGGAAAAAATTTGTAAGACCATTCTCTCATTTTGATGGATTACAGGACATACGTTCCATACTCATACATAAACTTATGCATAGTGCTTCACGGTTCTTGCCATTGAAACGAACAGTGTTGGGTTTATCATTTTTAGCATTTTGAAACCTTCAGTAACAGACAAAAGGTAGCTTAAAATGTGTCCCTACAGCTAAACCAGCCAGAAAAAAGGGCAGCCAACGGCAACCAACTAAATGGGGCGATAGATAGCCATCGAAACCAGATCTTGACTAAATGTAAACGTAACAGGGACCAAACATGCTTTCACACAATGGTAGGCGTACCTGCTCATCTTTTGTAAGTTCAGCAAGAGATCGAACTTCAGACTCCGTGATCCGCATGCCCCTGAGTTTCCTGGTAGTGGCTTGGCTGGAAAGGGAAAGAGCAGAGCCTGCAGCTACCGCCTGATTGGAGAGAAGAGCAGGCGCACCACGACCCGGTGGAGTAGTTGAAGTGTTGTGGTACGCCATTGAAGAGGAAGGTGGTGGTGTGCGACAAAGGCGCAGTGAATTGGTACCCGCCGGAGGTGTTGCTGAACGCGCTGCTGCTGCCGTGGACGCTACTGTCGTTGATGAGGCACCTGATGAAGTCTCCTCTTCATAGACCCGATTCGCAGCCTCCTGCAGGCGCTTAGCCATTGTTTGAAAACTCTTCACCTGTGGCAGCAGACAGCAAAGGCAAAGCCCAGTCTTAGCAAGAGTGACTTATAATAATGGAAAAGTTTGCAGGTAGCTAAAGATGTCCTTTTAGTCCCATGTGGGTTAGTCGTTAACTTACGAATAAAAAGTAGATACCAGAGCTGTTCATGAACAATTAATGTGGCTGCCATCCGACATGTTTTTGAAGAGGTTCTTTGAAAAACCTCTATAAAATGCAGCATCAGTAGGAGTGATTGAGGGTGGTGCGCTGGCTTCACACCCAAGTGAACCGGACATGAACTTACAACAAAAGGCCAAAGATTGAGCAGGAAAATCTGGTTCCAGGAGATAAGTAGAAAGCTGTACTTGACCTGAAAGCCTCGAGCCATTGAATCCTTGACAAAGAAGTTGTAACTGATCACGTGTCGATTAATATCATCGCCGAAATAAATAGGCCCTTCACGACCCGGAATGACCTATGCGATGAACACCAACTGACGAAACAAACACTATTTAAACGACAAAGTCAAAAAGAAATAAATATAAAGCACCTCGCAGGAGAGACTGCGCATACATGCCGTGCGAACGGCTTTGAGGAGTTCCATATCGCTGGGGAACTGGGTAGAGACGTAGTCAGTCTTCGCAGAGAAGTCGTGACTTACGAAACCAATTTCGTCGCGAGTTATAATGGAACAAGCTCGACAGGATGTGGAGGCCTGCATCCGAGGGTTAGTGTCCTGCACCGCTCCCGTAGATTGAGGTGGAGCCGTTGAGGTGATGATATCGGCTGAGAGATGTGTAAGGAAAGAAGAAGCGAAAGTAAAATAAATTCGACAGAGATAACGCTACTGACTAAGCAGTGACAAAGAGCCGCCACTACAGCAGTTGCTAATACATCAAGGAATGAGAGATGGAGCCCCTATGCCAACCAAGGAAGTCACCGACAGTGTTGATTGAGGGTCAATGTCCCAAAAACCCGAGAGATCAGAAGAAAATTACTCTATTGCAGCCTAGCACTGCAAGATTAGAAAATACGATACAGAGATAATGCTCAAATGGACTAACTCTAAATACAATCTAGTACAGCAAGATAGAACAAGGAACACAGAATAAAAGCAAGAACAAAGAGCTACTAACTTATCCGTCTTGAAATGAGCCTGTGATACTGCTCTTGATCTAGGGCATAACAAAAGGCAGTCAATAAGACATAAAACAAACTTACCACACCTAGGTAGGGAATAGAAATGCTCGATTAGGATGGAAGCGTTAAATGAAAAAAGTAACCAAAATACTGAACAAATAAACGGAAGTCAATTTTGACCGTCTAAGTTGAGACTTCATACTGCATTTGAAAGCTGTAACCATTTGGAAGATACGGAAGAGTTGAATAAGTTAAGCTTAGAGAAGACTTACAGAAGAGATTGTGTGTCAATTGTTCAGCTGGCCAGATGGTACTCTCATGAGAGGCGGAGGTAGAGGCGACGTGAAAACTGCCACAGCTGGATGAGGCATGCGGCGTGCCTGCAGATGTCTTACGCGACGGCACCATCGGTACGACCTGCTGACGCAGGGGCTGGGTACACATTATGATGGCGGGACCGTGGGTCTCGCAGAAGTGGCAAAGCACAACTACCGCATCCATTGCGAAAGATGAGAGGTAGCTGGAGTCCAAAAATCGCCAAAATTCGAAGTAAAGCTATAGGCTGATCATTTGCCAATCACGAATAACACCCGTGATCATAATCACAGAAATCATTCCCAGACCAATTGAAAGCTATTTTTTCCGAGCAAAAGTTACATTGCGTAGTGAAAAAGTGCGGGATTTAGTGGGGATTTCAAGTTGGTGTACCGCAAGTAGAACGAATCTGAGCCAAAAGATCGATCCTATGATTCTGATCAACAACCAAGAAAAGCCACAAAAAAAGGATTTGGATGCCCCTACGATCGAAGCGCAAATATTAAAGCTTGCTGTTCATTACAAGGTGAAGTATTTTACAATGCAGGCATGAAATAAGTTACTGAATAATAGTGGCAAAAATGGCGAAATACTGAAGAATACTGAGGACCGGCAGATTCACTTAAGCGTCATAGTGCTAGCAGCAGCACTTGTAGGGGATCTAGTTTCACTCATGTTTACTGCATGATCAAGACATCAACCTATGATCCCTCATAAAAGCAAGAAATTCTAGCAGTATCTTATGTACGGCGTATGCTACGACGACTTTAGGTAAGTAATATCAAATAACATAGAAAATGGCACCACGTAACTTCTGCTTTCATAAGCCTAAAACAGTGTCATTGGGTTATGGTGTGATGGTGGCTATGGTTATGGTGCAATAAAGATGTTGCATACAGCTAAGTAAAGAGAGGAAGTAAAGAATAAAAGCATTAAAACGGCGCAGTGGATAACCACAAACCTCGACAAACTAAATCCCTTACTGCCTCAGTTGCGCCAGTTAAGAAACCCGCCGATGTGTTGCCAAATTGAAGTAGCCGAGATTTACACACAAAATAAAACAACAGTGTTTTCCACATTATTAAAATTA